TGCACACATCTGAATATTTGGTTTGAAGTGTTCTGGAACAGTGTTGTAAATACAACTTAACCACTGATTTCTAGTTGTGTCCTCTTTTGGAATACCAAACAAAGTAGTTTCACTTTCACAATGAAACACACAGCGTTTCCACGACATGGCGGCGGCAACAGCGAGAATAAAAGTTACGCCTTCTTTCTTTGCATATACATTTGGGCGGTGTTATGCAAAACTTCCCACACAGTGACATAGACACGTGAGCGAGAATAAAAGTTACGCCTTCTTTCTTTGCATATACATTTGGGCGGTGTTATGTAAAACTTCCCACACAGTGACATAGACACGTGGGGGGCGTGTTTAAATGAGGCGTTTTAGGAGGGCGTGGACAAGTCTTAACTTTTATAAAGAATATCTCTTTGGGTTTCAGACTTTAGTCTTTGCAACTTTAGGGATCTTATCTATTCACGAACAGCTTGTAACACTCCAAAGAGAAAGGAAAACGTGAAATCGCATCATATGACCCCTTTAAGTACATCATTACTATCAGATATTGCTCATTGAATGTTACGCAGGACAGAAGAAAAAGCTGTAGTCTAGAACTTTGCTTGCAAGCTGACAAGCGACAGTATTGCTAGCTAAAGTTAGCTACTTGTTTCTATGGACAAAATGCAATTTTTAAAGGGGCTGTATGAAAGAATTTTCAAGTAGACTATTAATCGCTTTTTATTGCCAATGTGTGAACAGCATGTAGCCTAACGAAACTTTAAAAATGAGAGCCTGTAGACTAATTTTTATTTGAAGGACTCAGTTTTGCTGGGAAAATCCAAATGAAACTATCATAACAGTGCAATTTTAATGAACCTCATCTGTCGACATGATGTCGGTGAATCACACTGGCCGTCGCTACTCACATTATGGAGTGTGTGCAAAAGCATGAGCAATATGTTGCTGACCACAGCTCACTTAACGGCCACCGGTATCGCTAATAACAAGGGTTTCTGAATTCTACATAGAGCCCTTTAACAGCTAAATATCAGCATTTTTAGGAATTAATCTTTACTGTTGACAGTGAAATAGCTTGAGCCATCCTCTTGAGTAGGACTAGGCGGTATGTCAACACAGTTTCGCAGGACTGTTTAATTTTTGACCCTCTGATTAAGAAACAAATAAAAAGAAAA